ATCGATGGACCTCGGGAAATCTCCGAAGATCTCCTGAGACCTCTGGAGACCTGGGCCGCCAGCGGGGTGGCTGCGAGCCTCGACACGACACCCAACGCCTCAGGGGGAGGGCACGGGGGGGAGGGGGGGAGAAATCGAAGCTTGTACTTTTCCTCGATTCGGTCCTCTGAAGCCTCTTTTCGAGCCGTGGGGCCGTCAAAAGGCGGCCATGGGAGAGAATCTGAACCTGGGGAGCGGGTCCGCAGCAACCGGGGCACATGCTCCGAAGCGATCGTGACGTCGGAGGTGGAGGGGTCGCGGGGGGGGACTGTGAGGGGCCCCCTGGGCCTCTTAGTCGAAGGGAGGGGAGCAGGCGTCGGGGAGACGCAAGACTCGAGCCCTGGGGGGATCAAATTTGCCCGACGGGGCCGTCAAGAAAACGGCGCGACCCCGTCTGAAATCTGACACGAGCCTGCTGCAAACATCTCACAAAAAAAGTGGACCGCCGAGAACGCATGCCGGACCGTCGAAAAAAGCGGCGGTAAACCGAAGTTCCAGCAAACTCTAGTCGCACGCTTCCCCGAAGGGGGGCGAGAGGTTCGAAAGGCGATGCTGTCGCGCGTTCCTGGCGCGCCTCCGGAAGACTCTTGAGGCCTACGAGAGGGAAGAGGCGGGGCGGAGGAGGGAAGATGAGGAGCAGTGGCGGAGGTGGGTGCGAGAGGAGGGAAGAGGGAGGGGTGGAGGACGTGGAAGGAGGGCAGACACCCTCCTCCTCCTCCTCCTCCTCCTCCTCCTCCTCCTCCTCCTCCTTCTCCTTTTACCCTACTGCTTCTCTTCTGTTTCCCCCATCATCCTCCGTTATCCTGCACCCTCCTTCTTCATCCATCGACCCTCCTTCTGCTCTGCCCCTTCCTTCTCTCTCCTCCCTCTCTTCTTCTTCTTTATCCTCCTCGTCATCCCCTCATCCTCCCATCATCAACATCATCATCATCATCATCATCATCATCATCACCATCATCATCATCAGCATCATCATCATCATCGTCATAGGCATCAGCATCACCATCATCATCCATCATCATCATCATACTCAGCATCATCATCATCCTCATCATCATCATCATCATCATCATTATCAACGACAACAATAACAATAACAATAACAACAACAACAACAACAACAGCAGCAGCAGCAACAACAAACAACAACAACAACAACAACAACAACAACAACAACAACAACCACAACAACAACAACAGCAACACCAATAACAACAATAACAACAACAACAACAACAACAACAACAACAACAATCATTTTACCCGAACGCTCAGTGTTCTCCCCAGCGCCAGGGTTTTCTTGCGACACCAGCCAATACCCCCACTTCGTGGGGGGGCCGTTCAAGCTCTACCAAATATCCAAACGACTCTTCGAGACCACCCACACCCAGCTTCCCGCCCTATGACGTTGGGACACTTCACTTCGTGGCGTGCGGACGACCCTGGCTACTACACTGGCGTGGGGTACACACCCACAGAGGTTGATCACATCTGTTACATATGATGTGGTACACGGTACACGTGAGATGGTACGCAGTGCCAAGATAGTTGGTCACATTTTTGGGGCAAATTCGTGGGGATGCGATTACAGAAGTACATGTGTTACACTGATGTTATACAGTCCCAAGGATGACGCATGCATTGCTCATAGACTCATGGCGCTATGATCCTAACTCTCAGTGCCCAACGCGCGCGTGCACAGCCAGACGGAGGGAGAGAAACACATGTATACAAGGTTCGTGACATACGCACGGTCCACCATGTTGTAAACGATCGCATGCACGGTAAGTTCTGAAATTATACGTATGTACAAGCAGACATGCGAGGGAGAAAGGGAGATGGCCATCGACAGTTCCAATACGGCTCCAAGCATTGATACCCTTTGCCCGGAGCGCCTGATGCAAATAATACGCACTCTCGCAGTCGGCCAAGGGAGGCCGCGACAGCTCAGGGCCATACTGCTCGTGAAGGTCTTTCGCCGTCAAAGCCATGATCCAAGAACACAGGCGATACCTTGATCCGAGATGGCTACGGATATGTGCGTCAGCAGTCGGGGGCCTTCCTGGGGCCGCTTGGGGTCCTCTTGGGGAAGGGGGGAAGCCTCCTGGCGCGGTTTGGGGTCCACTTGAGAGCCTTTGGGGGGCTCCTTGGAACCATCTTGGGGCCTCTTGGGGGCTTATTGGACCCTCACGGCGGACTCTTGGGGCCTCTAGAACGCCTCCTGGGGCCATCTTGGGGGTCTCTTGGAGCCACCTTGGAGCCTCTCTGGAACCTCTTGGGGGCCTCTTGGAGTCCTCTTGAAGCCTCTTGGGACCATCTTGGGCGCCTCTTTGGGCCTCATGGACGCCTCTTGGGGCCATCTTGCGCGCCTGTTGGGGCCATCTTGGGTTTTAAAGATTCATCAAGAGACCGCGAATGGATTTCGAGATTTTTCGGATGAGAAAGTAGTGCGTTTTCATATGTTTTCTGAACATCGCATCTTGAAATTATTGAAAACCCATTGTGTTTGGCAGGATTTCGACATGCGCGCGCGGCGGCCGCGCGCATGTGCACTTCGTCTCATTTTTTGCAAGGGATGGTGGCCCTCGCAGGCGCGCAACCGTTGTTGGAGAAGTTCAAAGCACCTGAAGAAGTAGCACGCAAAGACCCTTTTGACAGAAATGTTTAAAAAGTGGTGTGTTTCCTATGAATCCGCAAGAGCGCGCGGAAGGACATTTTGACAATTTTTTCTTAAAAAACCATTGGGTTTTTGATGTTTTTATGTTAAAATCGTTACGAAACCTAAGGTTTTGGAAGGATTTCGTCTTGCGCGCACGAATGTCCACTTTACCTTATTTTTTGCAAGGGATTCTTGCAATTTGATCAAGTAAAAACAAGAATTTTCATTTTCTATTGTTTTTTGCAAGGGAAAACGAGCGTCAACAAAAAACCGGATCCGGAGCTCATCCACTTTTCTGAAGCTTTCGCGAAAAAATGATGAAAATGTAGCTGCGGCCTAGGCGCGGCGCAGAGGTCGCGCACCAGGGGTCCCAACAATAATAATTCTTTAGAAGGAATAATGTTCAACAACAACCACAACAACAACAGCAACACCAATAATAACAGCAGCAAACATCTTAAGACAGCTCGCTCGTATCTGCTCCCAAATGTGAGGAATTATCAGGCGTCAGCCGCTGATGTTGAAACCGGGGGCCAGGGACGTAGTTTGGTGACACCTCACTTTCCCTTGTAAAGACAAGGTGCCAGCCCCGGGAGAAGCACTTTAACTGAAAGATACAATGGTTACCGGAGAAGGGGGGAACAACAATTAATTCATTAGACATGCGAGCTCAACATCATCATCGTCATCGTCCTCGTTTTCGTCATCATCATCATCAGCAGCTGCATCAGCAGCAGCATCGTCAACTTGGAACTCGGAACTCGGAACTCGGACCTGCAAAGTGCACGCTGGCGGGGGCGCTGCAGGCGGGCGCCGTGGCGACACGGGGTGGGAAGGACGAGCGGCGGCGGTCTCTGCGCTGGTCGGCGGCGGCATCCCAGCGTGAAGCTGCAGGACACAGGGGGAAGGACGCACGATGGGAGAGAGGGACGCACAACAGGCGAGGGCCAGAGGCGAGGCCGAGGGAGAGAGGGAGGGAGGGACTGGCGGCAAGAGAGACGACGAAGGAAACGCGAGCGAAAGAAACCGACCGGCATTATGAGAATGACCACAACACTATCTACTGAGAAGTTTGCCCACAAGTGTTCCCCAGACGTCAGCTCGGGCAACATCAAACCACCCTTGTTAAGGACAATGTACTGCAGATATAATCGACTGCCGCAAATCATCGCACCATCGCTTATTCGGGTGACCTATGTGCTGGCGACCATCACAATCGAAATCCACCTCCCCATTCTGCAATAACGACCGTGCCATCGACCTTCTGATGTCGGACATACGAACCTCATCATCATCATCATCATCATCATCATCATCATCATCATCATCATCATCATCATCATCATCAACATAATCATCATCATCATCATCATCATCATCATCATCATCATCATCATCATCATCATCATCATCATCATCATCATCATCATCATCATCATCATCTCATCATCATCATCATCAGCATCATCATCAGCATCATCATCATCATCACAATAATTATCATCATCAGCATCATCATCATCATCATCCTCATCCTCATCCTCATCCTCCTCCTCATCCTCATCCTGATCCTCATCATCGTCCTCATAATCATAAGATCAGCATCGTCAACCTCCTCCTGTTCCTCCTCTTCCTCCCTCCTCCTCCTCATTATCATCATCGCCACCATCATCATCATCATCATCATCGTCGTCATCATCATACTCATCATTGGAATCATCAGCAACAGCATCACCAGCAGCAGCATCATCAGCATCGTCATCAGAATCAGCATAATCATCACCATCAGCATCATCATCCTCGTCATCATCAGCATCACCATCCTCGTCATCATCATCATCATCATCATCATGAGCATCATCATCATCGTCATCATCATCAGCAGCAGCATCATCATCAGCAGCATCACCCCTCTTCCTCCTCGTGAGACTCGTGTGACTGTGAAGGCGGTGCTGGTCAAGAACAACACTCCGAATGAAATCACCGTCTCAGTCGGCGGTGTACACTGCGACTCTCCACCCCGTGGGTGCACCCCCCACCTCCCCCTTACTATCGATGCCTCCTCCTCCTCCTCATCAGCAGCATCATCAGTATCATCATCATCAGCAGCAGCATCATCACCACCACAACCACCATCGTCATCATCATCGTCATCGTCATCGTCATCGTCATCAACATCATCAGCATGACTCATCATCGTCATCATCATCATTATCCCTCCTCCTCCTCATCCTCCCCCTCCTCCTCCTCGAAGTCACTCCAACAGCCAACGCGTGATTTCAACTGGCCGCACCCCCGCCACCGCGCCATTCCCGGCGATGCAGAAGGTGACGAGCGCCGGCCTGCGAGGCTACCGCAGCCAGCTTCTCTCCCTCTCTCCCTCCCCATCGCTTCCTTCCGCCCTCTGTGCGAGCCGTCCCCACTCGCATTCGTCCGCTCCCCTCCTGGCCCTCCCCCTTACTCCTGCTCGTCGCCATGCCGCGTACGCCAACTCGCCAGACGAGTATACGCGCACGTACGGTCGGAAAGACACAAATGTCGGACCATTCAAAGTTCAGTGAGCCGCTGAATCATGAGGCGGAGCAGGTCTGGTACGGTCGGTGGATCTGCCGTCGAACTTCGCAGCTGACGTACTTCTCGAATTACAATACATGCTGTTGGCTGGCATGTATCGAGCAATGGCCAATGGCATTATCCACCTCCCCCTCCTCCTCCTCCCTCCTCCTCCTCCTCTCCACCATCCCCCCTTCCTCCACCTCCTCCTCGCCTCCTCCTCCTGCTCCTCCCTTACCTGCTCCTCCTCCTCCTCCTCCTCCTCCTCCTCCTCCTCCTCCTCCTCCTCCTCCTCCTCCTCATCCTCCCCCACCTCCTTCCTCCCTCTCCTCCTCCTCCCTCCTCCTCCTCCTCATGCTCTTACTCCGCCTCCTCCTCCTCCTCCTCCCCCTCTCTCTCCAGCCTCCTCTTTACTCCATCCTCCTCCTCCTCCTCCTCCTCCTCCTCCTCCGCCTCCTCCTCCTCCTCTCCTCCTCCCCTCCCTACTCCTCCACTCCTCCTCCTTCCTCCTTCCTCCCTCCTCCTCCTCCTCCTCCTCATGCTCTTCTCCGCCTCATCCTCCTCCTTCCTCCTCCTCCTCCTCCTCCTCCTCCTCATACCTCCTCCTCTCCTCCTCCTCCTCCTCCTCCTCCTCCACATCCCAGTGCTCCTTGTCCCCATCCTCTGTTTCTCATCCTCTTCATGCACCTCCTCGTACTCATCCTCATAATCCTTATCCACCTCCTCCTAGACAACATCGTGAACATAGTCATGATCCTGATCATCCTCCTCTTCCTCCTCCTCCTCCTCCTCCTCCTCCTCCTCCTCCTCCTCCTCCTCATCCTCATCATCCTCATCATCCTCATCATCTATCCTCATTCCTCATCCTCATCTCTCCTCATCTTCATCATCAACATCATCATCATCATCATATCATCATCATCATCATCACAGCATCATCAGCATCAATCATCATCATCCATCATCATCATCATCAATTCATCATCATCATCATCATCATCAATCATCATCTCTCATCATTCAATCATCTCATCATCATCATCATCATCATCAGCATGCATCATCATATCATCATTCATCCTCATCATCATCATCATCATCATCATCATTCATCATCATCAGCATCAGCATCATCATCATCATCAATCATCATCATCATCATCACATCATCAGCATCATCATCATCATCATCATCATCATCATCATCATCATCATCATAATCATCATCATCATCATCATCATCATCATCATCATCATCATCCTCATCCTCATCATCATCATCATCATCATCATCATCGTCATCACCATCATCACCATCATAATCATCATCAGCATCATCATCATCATCATCATCATCATCATCAGCATCAGCATCAGCATCAGCATCATCAGCATCATCATCATCATCGTCATCATCATCATCTTCATCATCATCACCATCACCATCATCATCAGCATCACCATCATCATCAGCATCAGCATCAGCATCAGCATCAGCATCATTAGCAGCAGCAGAAGCAGCAGAGTCAGCAACAGTAGCAGCATCATCATCATCACCCGCAGCATCATCAGCATCATCATCATCAGCATCATCATCAGTATCATCAGAAACATCGTCATCATCAACATCACCGTCATCATCATCAGCATAATCATCCTAATCACAGCCATGATAATGATAATGAACATAATACGTATCATAATCATCATCAGCATCATCATCGTCAACGGCATCATCATCATCCTCATCAGCATCATCACCATCACCATCACCGTCATCATCAGCAGCATCATCATCGTCGTCATCACCATCATCATCTTCATCATCACCATCATCATAATCATCAGCAACATCATCATCGTAATCAGCATCGTCATCGTCGTCGTCGCCACTATCATCGTTATCGTCATCATCATCATCACCATTCGCATCACCATCATCAGCATAATCAGCATCATCATCAGCAGAAGCATCATCATCAACATCATCAGCATTATCATCATCGTCGTCGGCGTCGGCGGCATCGTCATCGTCATCGTCATCGTCATCGTCATCACCATCGTCACAGTATCACTATCTCCTCGTCCCTGTCTTCTCTATCGATGTATATAAGTGCATATCCTGCTGCCTCGCCATCATCCTCATCATAGTCGTCATCATAATCCTCAGCATCAGCAACAGCATCAGCAGCAGCATCATGATCGTCATTGTCATAGCCATCATCATCATCAGCAGCAGCATCATCATCGTCATCATCAGCATTATCATCATCATCATCAGCAGCATCAGCATCATCATCGCCATCAGTATCATACACGTCCTCATCAACATCATCAGAATCAGCACCATCGTAATCATCATCATCATCATCATCATCATCATCATCATCATCATCATCATCATCATCATCATCGTCAGCATCATCATCGTCAGCATCGTCATCAGCAATATCATCAGCATCGTCATCATCAGCAGCAGCATCATCATCATTTTCATCATCATCATCATCATCATCAGCAGCAGCATCATCATCGCCATCATTATCGTCATAGTTACCAGCATCCCCATCGTAATCACGGTCAGTGGATTCAAATTCCGCATGCTCCCTCATGATCATGAGCATACTTATCAGCTCGCCAACCCTCGATAACCGTTTAGAACCTGACAACTCTTGAGACACGTTCCGCCGCATCACCATCATCCTCATTATCCTCCACCACCGCCACATCACCATCCTCCTGTTCCTCCTCACTGTATCACTCGTACTCATGCCTCCTGCCCCTACTCATCGTGATCTCCTCTTCCGCCTCCTGCTCGTCCTCCTCCTCCTCATCTGCTCCTCCTCGTCCTCCTCCCCGTCCCCCGCCGTGTCGTGCTCTTCTGTCTTCTCTTCCGCCCCACTCTTACATCATCGCTCATGTTCCTCCTTCCCAGCATCATCCTCGCCAACATGCGTTCCCTCATCCTCCTAGGCACCCGTACAAATCCTCTGCAACCTTCAGAGCCAACACAAAAACAAACACCCTTCAAACACTCGGCATAATCCTCCTTCTCAGTCTGCCATCCCTCCTCCACCTACCTCGTTCTCTTAATCATCCGCCACATCCCCCCTTCTTGCTCAAGCAATTGGACTCTCGATCGTGCTGAGAGACGCGTCAACTGGACAGGCCAGTGACACCCAGCCGTTTGGCTCCGCGGATGCCCAAGAGTAAGCCGTTCACAGCCTACAGTGCATGTGGCCAGTGGGTGTTTCAACGGACGGCTCGAGAAGCAGGGCGGACGGTGGAAGTGTGGAGAGTGGCTCGAGCCACTCGAGACCAAGCCGCCACGGCGCAGCAGGCACTACGGAGAGAAGAGCGGCAGCACAACGTGGTCGTGGTGGGGACCCGGAGGACCCGCTGCAGTGCGCTCTGGGGATCGCAGACAAGCACGACCCGAAGGCAGGGATGGCAATGCGCGAGGCCGCCAAGCAGGTGGCGATCAAGGCGCTCCCTCCGCAATGCCAGCCCAAGGACCTCTGGGATAACCTCTCGCAGGGCAAATTCAAGCAGCAGAAGACGAGCGAGGAGCCTCCCAAGGCCGAGGAGGAGGCGCAGTGGAGGACGGCTGCGCTGGAGAAGGCGGCCCAGCGACGTGACGAGCTGCTTGAGGCGGCCCACGGTGCCAATATGGAGAGGGAGAAGGCGTCCGAGGACGGCAGGAGGACGAGGAGCCTCACCTGCTGCGGCAGCGTCAGTGCTCGAGGTCGAGGTGCAGATGCAGCTGCTCGAGGGACTGGACGAATACGAGGACGGCGAGGTCAAGGAAGAGATCCTGGCCTTCCGTACCAAGCTGGAGGAGGTGCAGGAGGCGGGCAGAGAGGCCTTCGAGTCCCACCAGGCGACCCCGGCGCGACATGCTGAGGAGGTCCAGCGGCTTCATACTCAGGCGGCTGCGCACAAGGAGGCGCTGCTGGCCGAAAAGGGCAAGCTCCGCGAGCGCCTGCCGAGCCTCAAGGAGCGCATGGTGGAGTCCGGGCAAGCAGAGGCAAGAGGACGTGGACCAGACGGCGGCCAAGACAGGGGAGGGGGGCTGCTGAGAACCCTGTGGAGGAACCGCCCGTCAGCACGGAGGAGGAGCGCAAGGCCCGCAGCGATGCCCTGGCGCAGCTCGAGCAGGAGACGCAGGAGACGGCGCGGGCTGGCAAAGGGGCTAAGGGAGCTAAGAAGGCGGGCAAAGGCGCTGGTCGTGTCGTGCTGCTGGTGACGTTGCTGCCACGGCCCCGAAGGCCATGCCCAAGCCGCGGGGGTGACAGGAAGATCCTGTTCGCCAGCATAAAGACTTGGGGGTCGCAGGCCCAGAGGTACATCAACAAGATGGCGGACAAACGCCCAGAGACCTCCACGATCGCCCCGTGCGAGACGCCCGTGGCGAAGGAGGAGGAGGCCAAAGTCCATAGCGACCTCGGACGAGGACGGCTGGAGAGTGACGATGACCTCGGCCGTGAGCTCGGGGAGATCAGAGGCAGGAACGAGCGGTGGCGAGATGGTGGCAGCGAAGAGGCACCAGCAGGCCAGCACGTCCGAAGCCAATGAGGCAGATGGCGTGCACAGCGAGGAGCGCAGGGCCCCCCCCCCAAGGATTCGCTGCCATGGTGGCCCTCCTCCTCTTTCTTGTCCTCCTCCTCCTCCTCCTGCATCTTGACCGCGGCGTGCGTGGCGCCAAAGGGGTACGGCGACTCCCCGAACGAGACGAAGCTGGCGATGAATGGAGATCACGCCCCAGGCTTCAAACTTCCTGCTCTTCGTGCCATGGCCAGCCGCCAGTCAAATGGAGCCAGTGCGGAGGACCTTTTGGAGCAGCGAAGCTGGCGGCCCTGGCGGGCTTCTGCAGGTCGGTGGAAGATCCGTGGATCATCGCGGCGGACTGGAACCTCACCCCGGC